GGCCCCCCCCCCCCCCGGTTGGACTTTCTGCAGGGAAAGAAAAGGCCTCTTTGGCACATTTACAGAATTACAGAATTGAAAAATGGTTGAGGTGGGAAGGGACCTCTGGAGATCATCTAGCCCAACCCAACCCCCCCCCCCGCTCAAGCAGGGTCCTCTAGAGCATACTTCCTAGGCTCGCATCTAGGCAGGTTTTGAATATCTCCAGGGAAGGAGACTCCACAGCCTCTCTGGACAACCTGTTGAGACTTCAGGAAGGCTAAGAATTCTGGCCCCACTGGGTTTGAATTAAATTTAATTATTCATACCCTTTGCAGGTGACTCCAGCTCAAAATTGTGGATCACAGCAGAAACAGAGATGCATCCAAAAAGAAATCAGTTAAGAAATGGGTCGATAAAAGCATGAGGAATGAAAACACACACCTCAGAAGATGAGAGAACAGGGTGTTTATTTTCTGCTCACTGATACTGGGAAGAGGCCAACAGGAAATACTGTGGTGTGGTTTGATAGGCTGATAATATAGCCATTTGGTTGGCAGTCCAAAAGACCCCCCAACACACACATTCCCAAACTGACTTTTCTCTCACAAGCTGTAAGATGCTGCCTGCTTGAAACAGGATACTGTGGTTAAAACGTATGACTAAATCACACTAAGCAAGACGAGTTCCCCCTTGCTCAAAAACATGCTAACTGCTTCCTGAGGGGAAGCACTCCAAGGTCGAGTCCAGTCCTTATTACAAGCCTCCAGACCACTTGGTATATCTCTTCTTCCACTGCTCTCTGTGAATGCAGAGAGCATGCATGCTCCAGAGACGCCAAGAAGCAGAAAAAAAGTCTTGTTATGCTGCCAGCTCACATAATCCCTTTGCCCCACCTCCATCCCCAACTTTTAATACATTTTTAGTAGTAAAAGAAGTGGCACTTACTTGGCTCAACTGAGATGGAGACTCCACTTCCAAATACAAGCTTGTCTGTTGCTACTCCAAGTTCTCAACACCATGAAATACTTGCTTACAAGAAGTGCCTCTTCCTTCCCTTTTACTGCACACCATTTCAGATGAGACAGGCAGTCACATGGCCAATATAATGCATGAAGAAACTGGATGCCCTTTCAATGCTGGGCAAAAAGGTGGAGATTTTAGTCCTCTTGGAATCTGCAGGATTGTGATGAGCTCTGGGCAGGCTCATGGATTTCGGCCCAAGGGAAAGCCAAAAGTTGTTCAGTGTTTGAGTGTTATTCTACAGCAATAAGCAAAACTCTTCTGGGTTGCAGAAGCAGTCTATTTTTTGCACTTTAGATTATTTTTGGTCACCCAGCAAGACGAGGACTAGGCTAAACCTGGGCTTTCAGAATTGTTATCTTTCTGGAAGGGCCAGGGCTGAGGGTAATTTGGTGCCTCAGGAAGTCCTAATCCTGCTTTTGGTAACTCGAGAAGGGGAAAGGATTGCTCTTCATTAGGTGGAGAGATATTGTGCCCTTGGGAATATTCAAAGAATAAAGGGTTTGCTAGGGATGGGGCCAAATGGTTTGCTCAAATCCTGCATGATGGTCAAATTCTGCACCTTAGTGCCACCTGCACCTGAAGAGTTGCGTGTAAATGCATTCCTCTTGTGTACGCAGGACAATAAAGCAACTGCCGCTTAGTGATTATCCAGGAAGCAGAGGTGTGGTAGCTAGACGTGAAGGTGTTGTAAAAGACAACCTTGCAATGCAAGGGTGTAAACACAGCCACATGATACAGGCAAATCACCTTTAATTGAAACATTAACCGCTTTAATTTAACATTGACCATTTTAATTAAATTTAATTGAAACATAGGGGAGGGGAGGGGGGGGGAGACCTGGGCACAGACAGGTGCAGGTGGTGTAGCAAGGAAATATGACTCACTGTGGCTTTCTAACTGCTCTCAAGCTGGAGGAGGGTGCACAGGAAGGGAAGTCTACTAACATCCTGGTAAAAGAGAAACTTGACATTTGAGGGAAGACAATAATGCAGTTATGAGGTAGTATAGGACTGATCTGCCCAAATGCAAGGAGCAGCCCGGGGAAGGGTACAAAACTGTTAGTTTGATCATCTAACAAAGTGATACTGAAGGCTGGCACTGAAGGTTAAAACAAAAAAAACCCCAAAAGCAAAAAAAAGTGGGGGCAAGGGGAGACAGGAAGACATCCAGCTGCCCTGGGCAGGGGTATGTGAGGGACCAGTGGAGGCTGTTCAGCACCAGTATTGCTCATTTGTGCCCTCCGGGCTCTGAAAACCTGGATGCCAGGAGCTAATCTGGAATCAAAGGTGCCGATCTTGTACATATTGTTTTGAGCCCAAGGGAAAAACCCTTGCCTCATTTCAGAATTGTATGCAGAGGGCAAGGATATCTGGAGTTTTGCTCAGACCTTCAGTCCTTGCAGCTGTGCAGTCACAAGTGGTTCTCATTCTGTAGATTTACCTACAAAATTAAGCAAATCTGAGCAACTAGCTGCTATTCAAATACATTTAGGATCAATTTAAGGGCCTAAAGCTCACCCCTCCAGAGAGAAAGAGGGAGAGAGAAGGGAGATCTGGGGTGTAAACCAGTCTTTCCTTGATGTAAAACAGAGGTGCCCATTTGAGTGCATATCGGTCCTTGAACTGCAGACAGTCAGTACTTCCCTGGGGTGCTGGAGAAACAGCTTTTAAGTCCCCCGTGTGCCTGAGGGATGATCCAAACCAGCCACTCCAAAGTCAGGGCAGAGGGACCCAGCCATGGGGCTAGAGACATTAGGTGTATGCTTGCCTTGGAGGTACAGGCCAGCAACACAGAGAGGGCTGTGGCTCCTGAGCTGCAGCAGGCTCATCCCTAGAGATCCATCACAGTTAGCACTTGTGGGGTACTGCGGCATGTGAACTGATGGAGACACACTCGTCACTGAGCCTTTCCTGGAGCTGTTCCACTTTACAGGTAGTGAGTGGTACAGTACAGTCAGAAAGGGCAAGAGGAGGACTGTACAGTGGTTAGGCACCTACCGGCAACATGACTGCGCTTCTACAGCATGCGTGTTGGTGGGATGGGCGTTGAATGAGCGTCATATTAAAAAAAAAAAAAAGTTGCCTCATACGCCTACTGGCCTGGCATAGATAAATCATCCCGTTGCTTGAATCATGATCAGTATCAAATTTGTTCCTGAAGATGCAGTTGTCTGTGGGAAGAAGAGGCTGTGAGGAAGTGGACCACGTTGCATCTTTAAACTCTTCAGGGAGTCAGTTTGTGTAGGGTGGTTCAGTCCCTTTCAACCACTGTGATACCTAGTCCACCCAGTGATGAACACTCGTACAAAAACATTTCTGTCTTCATTTCAGTGCCAGGTGACACCCCTTCTTTCATGTCTTATGAAAGCTGGATTTTGTCTTCCTCTTCCTCTCTGCTCTTTTACTGCTGAGCAATCAAACCACAGAGTAGTTGCTGTAAATTGAAAATAGCCTGGCTTTTCTGATAGATGTAATAACACTCCTAGCTTATTCAAACTTGTCCATACCTTGTGACAATGAATGTGGAACAATTTATGTTGTCAGAGCCATTTTCACTTCAAGGACTTGATTCCAGATTTATAAAACTGTAGAGAATTAAGGTGGGAATTTTTTTTAACAGTGTCTAGGGACCAGCTGTCCCAAATGCACTGTCCGTTTAGTTTTGTCTTACATTCATCAGGACTTTTCTGGACCTCAAATTATTTATATTTCAAATATTTTCATGCCGTATCCAAATGAGTCTGTGATACATTAATTCTTCAGAGGTTACTTTTGCTTGGTGCAATTGCCTCTTGTTTGTGTGGATGTGTTAATTTTGGGGGGCTGGGGGGGGGGGGGAATGGGGGGGTTTAATTTGGGGGGGCTGGGGGGGGAGGGGAATGGGGGAGGAGGGTCACAGAATCACCAAACCACAGAAGAGTATAGGTTGGAAGGGACC